TTGTGTCGGATGTCGACCTTAATGCCCTAAGGCAACCAAGCCCTAAGCCCTAAGCTCAAAAATCCGAAACCCTAAAAGCCCCAAAAGCCCTAAAGCCCTAAGCCCTGAACCCTAAACCCTAAACCCAAAAGCCCTAGACTTGAACCCTGACTTTTGAACCTTCGGCCTCGACCTTTCTGCCCGTTTTTTCGCGATCGTCGCGAGTGGCAACAACATCATCTTTCAGTATTGCCCTGATGAGAACTATTTTGATTTCTGGTCTGTTTGCTTGTTTTATGAAGTAGATAATCAAGTGATATTCAATATTCTGCCTGTGTTATTAGAACTATTTGTATTCTGATCACAAAAGCTTCGTGGTGACGTTTGGTACTGCTACATGTCAACCGCTGTCATTCTTCGTGTTGTCATCATGGTCATACTGTTTCTGTGGTCGACAATCATGCAGTGATCCTCCTCGCATGTCCTGGCATGATAGCCATGATGAGGTTGACAGCCAACACATCGATAGCAAGCGTATTCCAGGCAACAATTGTTCGACAGCAAAGAAGAATCGGCACAGCAACAGCATGCAACCCCACCGGTCACAATTGCCATGCCGCCGTGTTGACTTCAGGGTGTCAGAGCTCACGCAACGCATTCAAGGAGGAGTTCGATACCTCCGTGACAGTTTCTTTCCCCGCATAGGTGAGAAGGGTAATGACTGCACAGGTATACAGTATAACTACACAAGGTTTATCTGGACGAAATCGAACGTCATAGTTACTGAAAGTGGTGATGATGGTTATGGGGTTGCTGATGATGGTGATGACGGGGAACATAATGATGGTAATGATGTTGGTGATGATGATGAAGATGATGATCACGATGATGATGGTTTTAATGAAGGGATTGGCGGCGATAGTGGCAGCATGGGCTCATCGTCCTGGCAGTCGTTCCTGCCGTGCACGCGTCACTGTCGCTGTTGCCGTCTTCGTCATCAGTGTTTATTAGAACAAGGCAGCAATCTGTAAGAACAGGATCAGCAGTTATGTTGCCAGCAGCAGTAGTCGCGGCATAAGTGCTGGTATCACAAAGGGAGCATTGTTGACAACAAGGGCGACTATAGTGAAAGCGCGTTCATACACAGCAACAACGATACTATACGAGCAGCGCGATGCATAAAGCTGTGGTCCTACTGGTACGGTTACTGTGAACGTTGAGATACAAAAATACACCGCCTATCTTCTTGGGAGCAGGTGCGCAACAAGGCTCGTTTTCGGGAAGCCTGCGTCAAGGCCTGATCCATCTAAATCATATACAATATCACAAGTGCCTTATGGGAATCTTTATACAGCTCTGTATTCAAGACCCTATCAAACCCTTATAGTAACCCTTACAGAAGCCTTTAAAGGGATCCTTTAAAGGGACCCCGTGTATCAAAGCCTTGGACCATTCCAAGGGCTTCACACTCAGATCTTCCCCAATAAAGGTGCCTTGCTCGTTGCAAAAGGGTCCCGTTTTGGGTTGAGGGTTTAGGGTTTA